AGATTTTACAAAGAGTGATGGATTTGTAGATGGGGCTGGTGCATGCAATGCCTGAAGCCACTATTACGCAAAGCGTTTCGGGCAAAGCGTTCTCGTTGGTTCGCGAGTCTCTTCGTACCTTCCAATATTATTGGAACGTCTGTTGATTTTCGATGTGGTTTCCATCGGGTCTTCTGTCAGCCTTGTTGGTTCCCTTCCATCATCTGTTTTCTTTTGCTTCGTCTTCGCCTTGTTTTGTTTTCGCGTCGTCTCTACTTCCAGTTTCGGCGTTTTTTGTCTTCGTTCCGCACACCTTCCTGGTGTTTGTACGATGTCTGTACGTTGTGTGTACAATTTGTGTGTCCGCCTGGTGTACGAGCCATGCCTCCCGGTGGGCTGTGTGGTGCACCACACAAATACACCACCACGAAACGGGTGGTGCGTTTCGTACCTCGTGTGTTGGGGCCGCGGTGTGCGTTTTGTTTACGGGCGGTATGCTCGTGTGTTCGCTCTGTTTCTCGTGGATTTTCTACAGCTTCTTGCTCGTTTCTCCCTCCAGTCGTGGCCCTCTGGATGCTGAGGGTGTTTTGGATTTATATCTGGGGGTGTCACTTTGTTCTCCCTCTGTACTGCTTCGTCTTCTGCAGGGCGCGCACCTCTGGCCGTATTTCTCCTTTGACCTCGCACTTTCTTCAGGTAAGGGTACATACTATGCCTACTGCATCGAGTATGCATGGCTTTCGGGCACACCTTTAGCGCTGCTCCTGGTATGTTACTTGGCTCGCCTGTGTTGTGGCACGGTCTTGTGTCTGCTCTGCAGGTGAGGTTGTCTTGTCTGGCGCTTCTGTCGGCCTAGTGCTGGTTCTCACTTTTGGTGGGGTGCTTGCCTAGTTGTGCTGGCGGGGGTTGGCTCTGGCTCTTGGGTCCCGCTTCTGTCAGTTGATGGTTGTGCAGTTTCCTGAGCCTTCTGGGCTCTGTCTTCCCGTTTGCTCCTGTGGGTGGCTTCTGCCTCCTCCACATGGCTTTTTGGTGCTTTTTGCTTCCTTTCCCTTCTGACATTAATCAGGTTCTTTTAGTGTCTGTGTCTCCTTGTGCGTACAAACATACGGACATAAGTACAGTGGACCTGCAGAGGGCCTATTGGCCCGTGCGAGGTTGCTACTGTTTCTTACCATCCATTCCGACTCACATACATGTCCAACCCGCCCTTGCACCAATCGTGGGGCCCCACCACCACGTTACGTGGTAATTGGTTCTGCACGTCACCGGGCCTATTACAGTGCAGGTCATTCCTCCGGTCTTTCCTGATTCTGCGCTTATCCCTTTTATGCCCGTTGTTTTGTGCCCACAATGTGTCGCAAGGGTGGCTTATGCCACTATCCCAGTTTCTATTGTTTCGTGGGGATTGGTCAATAAACACAAACACTAAGGAACTACTTATCTTTGGTTGCGTATTCAGTAGTTGCGGGTGATATTTTGGCGGGCAATGGTGCGGGTTGGGCGCTCTGAGTGTCGGTACGGTGTCTCGAATGTCTGTTCTAGACCACACTTGCAGGTAGTCTAGTTATTCTCTGCTACTCTGCTGGTTATATGCTTGGGCGCCGCCTCACAGTTCTCCACAGGTTGGCAGGACTTTTCCTTGGACGTACGGAATGGTTTGAGTTCCATCGTTGGTGCTTTGGAGAGCTTTGCTTCTCTGGTTAGGCTTATACGTTTGGAGCGAGTATCTTCTTGGGATACTCTACTCACTCCGCCACACTTGTTCACTGTTCCATCGTTGTTTACTCTTCCCCGCTTGGCGGGATTGCGTCGATGGCTCCTGACTGAGGTGTTTGGTGTGGTGTTTGGTCACCTTGCATGTGTCTTTAGTGCCTTTTTTGTCCATCTTTTGTTCTTTGTTGTCCTGTGGGGCTCTGCCCCGCATTTTGGTGTTTTTGTTTTCGTTGTCGACCCCGGGGTTTTTTCCCTGTCTGGACACTTTCCTTGCCTATCTTCGGTGCCTGACTGCACACTGCTGTCCGTAAGGTCCCTCAGGTATGTACGCACTCCTCTTCACATTTTGTGGTTGGTCATGTGCGTTACTTTCCGGCCGCTCCTTGGGCCGTATTCGTGGTTTCCTTACTTATTTCCGTTTTTCCTCCCCATGCTACACTTTTTTGTGTGTCTGGGTCAGTGCTTCTTGGTTATCCTGTTTGGTGCTCCGGTGGGCCTCTGTCCATGTTCCACGTCCTGCTTTTGGACTTCTCTGGTGTTCCGTTTTGGTACCGAGTTCCTGCGATTTCTGTGTGGTTTTCTGCAGGCTTCGGGTTGCGCTGTCTGTGGGGAGGAGTGTGGACTTTTCGATCTGCCACTCCTGCCTTCCTGGTTCCTTTTCTTGGAACTGGGTTTGCTGGGTTCCGGTCCTGGTTTCGGTTTTTCTTTGTTCCTTTTCCGGACCGGGTGTGTTTGCTTTCCTGCGGTTTCTCGTCCTCGGTAGTTATCCTCTTGGATGCCACAGGGATGCGTGTCTCATTCTTCCCTGCTGGAGCTGGTTATGTTGCTCCTTTGGGTTGCGGGGTTGCTGTTTTTAGCTTCGCGTTTTGCGAATCTGAACACAGGTCCCAGGTTATTGGGACCAGGTTATTGGTCTCCCACCTGCGTGTTTCGTCTCGGGGACAGTGTGTGGTTTTCCTATCATTGCGAAGGGTCCTTCGGTCTTTGATAGGGTTGGCTTGTCTTCCCTTTGGGGTTGTTCTGGGACCGTCGTCTGGGATTGTCCCATCACCTCATGTTGGGTGGTGCTGGCAGAGCTGCTCCTGCTTGCGTTCAGTGTTGCAGTTCCTTCTGCTCCATTCCACTTGCTGTCCTGGGCGTTGTTTCCCTCTGGCCTGCTCTTGAGTTTTGGGGCCGTCCTGGTCATTGGCCTGGGTGGTCTTTTTCTTCTCGTTTTGGTCTTTGTTTTGTCTCTGGTTTTGGTTGTTCAGTTAGGACGTGTGGTATCTGCCTCCCGGTTCCTTCCCTGTTTTTACTTATCTTTGGGGAGGTAGCTCCGGGGACCCGACGGGGTTCCCCCCAGAAAACCAGCGTTGAATGTAATGAAACACCATTTTCTGGGTGAGTCCTGGAGGCTCCCTGGCATCCCGCCCTCCCTCCGGTCGGCGACGTTTTTCGCGTATTTGACATCCAGCCTAAGAACTGCCAGTTGGATTGCTGGCGTGGAGGGTCTGGGGCTTCCCCTTCCCCCTCTCGGGGAGGAGGGGGGGGGTTGCGCAGACGGTGGCACGGCGACGTGATGACGTCATGCTAGTTTGATAATTTTGCTTGGGGAGTTTTGTCCACTCGTTCGGCTGTCGGTAGCAATAATTTCACCAGAATAAGGGTTTGTTTTGGGGCGCCTACCTTTCTGGGTGCCTGTCCCGGTCGATGGCAGACATAGAATGATCCCAATCACAAAGGGGTTTCTATAGGCCAGTGCTCCTCGTGCCTCTCTGAGGGGGCCAGGTTCTGGCTCGAGGTCCCCGGTAGGCAAGAACTCCTAGCACTTTGACTGATGCCAGAAAGGTATACATATCCATTCAGCCTGGATAGCTCCGAGGAGCCTCCGAGACTCACCCAGAAAATGGTGTTTCATTACATTCAATGCTGGTTTTTTTATATATTTAGAATGTGTCCCTGGAAATTCAGCTTGTTGTCAATGAGAACGCCAAGGAATTTGCCATCTATTTTGTTACAAATTTGGGTATTGTTTATTCTAAGATTTATTTGATTACAGGATTTATTGCCAAACAGAATATAGAAAGTTTTGTCAATGTTAAGGATGAGTTTGTTGGCAGTTAGCCAAAGATGGACTTTATTTAGCTCAGTATTTACTGTGGCATTTAGAGCAAGGGGGTCAGGACTGGAGTAAATGAAGGTTTTGTCATCAGCAAATAGAATTGGTTTGAGGTGTTGGGAGGCATTTGGAAGGTCATTAATGTAGATGAGAAAGAGGAGAGGGCCAAGTATGCTGCTCTGAGGAACACCGATGTTGATGGGTAGGGTGGGAGAAATTGAATTATTCACAGAAACATACTGGAGCCTGTCAGTAAGGTAAGATTTGAGGTATTGCAGGGAGTGTCCTCTGACTCCATAATGATGTAATTTAAGAAGAAGGTTTTGGTGGTTGACAGTGTCAAAAGCCTTACGCAGGTCCACAAATAACCCAACAGGGAACTCATTTTTATCAAGAGCTGCATGAATCAAGTTAATCATACTAATGAGTGCATCGTTAGTGTTTTTTGGGGGGTCTGAAGCCATATTGACAAGAGCTAAGTATATTGTGTTTAGCTAGATAAGAGTAAAGCTGCTTACCTTGAGGTGCTTCCGGGGCTTAGCGTCCCCGCGGCCCGGTCGTCGACCAGGCCTCCTGCTTGTAGATTAGTTTTTCAAATATTTTTGACAAGTTAGACAGGATTGATATAGGTCTGTATTTGTTAACATCTGTGAGATCACCACATTTGTGGACAGGGGTTACTCTCGCTTTTTTTAGAATATCTGGAAAGGTTTGGAGTTCAAGTGACTTGTTGAAGAGCAATGCAATAGCAGGGGCTAAAGATCTGGAGGCTTTTTTGTAAATTAAAGTTGGTATCTCCTCAAGGGCACTAGACTTGGTTTTAAGGGAAAGGATTATCTCATTAACGTCAGTGGAATTAGTAGGCTTTAGGTACAGAGACTGTGGATAGTTACCTGTAAGATAGTCCTTAACATCAGTACTGGATGTAGCATCAGTACATCTATATAGATTATGAGGAGGGGATGCCCTTATGAAACATTTTCTATGTAAAGGAGGTGTTAATACATTACATAAAACTACACATAAAATCTATGCAGTTCTGTACTCAGGGTTTGTAATGACACGTTGACCAAACCACACACTAGAAGATGAAGAGATGATGACGCTTCGGTTCGTCCTGGACCATCATCAAGGTGATTGTGTAATGACACATTCAATTGATTTTTCAATTCATTAACAATATTATTACTAAAATAGTTCTACTTTACAGGTGTTGGATAAATTGTCACTGGAATACAACAGAAATGTGGATGATGATGGCTGGCATCATGTGGGAAAAGAAGAAATTGTTGCTGAGTTTGGTATTCTTGGTGGAGAAGAGAAGAGACATTATCTCACAACTGTAATGACAACTCACTGTGATGGTGTCTTGTCTTGTGTAGAATTTCCTTAATAGTTTGAAGTTGGCATGTAAAGCAATGCATGATGATTAATAGACAGCTATCCCAGTAGGAATGTTTCTTCCAAGAAGTCATATGTCATTAGTCTTGGCAAGCACAAATTATATATATATATATATATATATATATGTTGTACCTAGTAGCCAGAACGCACTTCTCAGCCTACTATGCAAGGCCCAATTTGCCTAATAAGCCAAGTTTTCATGAATTAATTGTTTTTCGACTACCTAACCTACCTAACCTAACCTAACTTTTTCGGCTACCTAACCTAACCTAACCTATAAAGATAGGTTAGGTTAGGTTAGGTAGGGTTGGTTAGGTTCGGTCATATATCTACGTTAATTTTAACTCCAATAAAAAAAATTGACCTCATACATAATGAAATAGGTAGCTTTATCATTTCATAAGAAAAAAATTAGAGAAAATATATTAATTCAGGAAAACTTGGCTTATTAGGCAAATCGGGCCTTGCATAGTAGGCTGAGAAGTGCATTCTGGCTACTAGGTACGACATATATATATATATATATATATATATATATATATATATATATATATATATATATATATATATATATATATATATATATATATATATATATATATATATATATGTCGTACCTAGTAGCCAGAACGCACTTCTCTGCCTACAATGCAAGGCCCGATTTGCCTAATAAGCCAAGTTTTACTGAATTAATATATTTTCTCTAATTTTTTTCTTATGAAATGATAAAGCTACCCATTTTATTATGTATGAGGTCAATTGTTTTTTATTGGAGTTAAAATTAACGTAGATATATGACTGAACCTAACCAACCCTACCTAACCTAACCTAACCTATCTTTATAGGTTAGGTAGCCGAAAAAGTTAGGTTAGGTTAGGTAGTCGAAAAACAATTAATTCATGAAAACTTGGCTTATTAGGCAAATCGGGCCTTGCATAGTAGGCTGAGAAGTTCGTTCTGGCTACTAGGTACGATATATATATATATATATATATATATATATATATATATATATATATATATATATATATATATATATATATATATATATATATATATAACATTTTCTATGCAAAGGTGTTAATACATTACATAAAACTACACATAAAATCTATGCAGTTCTTCAAGAATAGGGGTGGTAGGAGAAGAAAATATCAAAGTGTTCAGTGAGGATCCACAAGGTCTTCATTGAGTACTCTTTATTTTCTTCTCCGAGGCTATGGGCCCCTAAACTTGCACCAGAGGTGGTACCCCTTATATATATATATATATATGTCGTACCTAGTACAGTAGCTAGAATGCACTTCTCAGCCTACTGTGCAAGGCCCGATTTGCCTAATAAGCCAAGTTTTCATGAATTGTTTTTCGACTACCTAACCTACCTAACCTAACCTAACTTTTTTGGCTACCTAACCTAACTTTTTTGGCTTCCTAACCTAACCTAACCTATAAAGATAGGTTAGGTAGGGATGGTTAGGTTCGGTCATATATCTATGTTAATTTTAACTCCAATAAAAAAAAATTGACCTCATACATAATGAAATGGGTAGCTTTATCATTTCATAAGAAAAAAATTAGAGAAAATATATTAATTCAGGAAAACTTGGCTTATTAGGCAAATCGGGCCTTGCATAGCAGGCCGAGTTCGACGTTCTGGCTACTAGGTACAACATATATATATATATTATGATTTAGAGATTTAAAATATTTAAAATAATTCAGCACATACATATAGCTTACATTTGCTTCCTGAGGCCTCCAGTACCCCCTCCCCCTGGTCTTGAACAAAATCCAGCCCCTCAATTTCCTTCTAGGGCCTTAATAAAAAAATTAAGACCATTGTTTGGCAACATCACCAACATTGATGTCTCTGAACATTGAGCAGATTAGGGCAGCCATGGAGATGGCACTAAACTTTTAACAGCAGCAAATAAGTGATTGTCCCATATATACATTTCAGGAAAATGTGTGCTATGTGCAATTTTAAGATTAGGCTTATATATTGTTATGGAATTGAGTCCTGTATTCCCCTGTTCCCACATATAAAAGTCATGACTCCATGGTTGTACATAACAAGAAAAAATTGTGAGTTGATTTTATACCCTTAGGAGAAAGACTGATGTGGAATTTGTGAGAAATTGCAATTTTTGTTCATTTGGTATAAGGCTTCAAGCATCTTATCCATGATAAATATGGCAGAGCGAGATTCAGAGAGAGGAGGGCTTTGCTGCCCAAGGGCGAGGATCCCAGTGCATTTTGGGAGCTGCACCAGCTGCACTGTGATTGCTCAGTGGTGGGGGCTTGGTGAAGTTGACCAATGGCGTTGCATCCTGGGGTTGATGTTGCATGACTTAAGGTGCCTTTGCCTGAAGGCGCAAAAGCAAAGCAGACTAACTACTGGGATGTCGAGCTGAGTGGGTGTGCGCTCGTGAGCTCACCTGCTGGGGAAACGTATAGGCCTCCAGAGGGTACAGTTCGGCTAGCTGACGTGTATCAACAATGAGGAAGAACTGTCATCTCCTGTGGGAGTATTTTGGGCAGAGCTTTGCTGGTGTGAAGATGACACCAGGTGCTAGGTGGCGGCAGTGACCTGAGAACTTCATGAAGTGACACTAGGAGGAGTGTAGGCCATTTCAGATGGCTATGCACGTCGTAAGCTATGTGGGGCCGAATTGGTAGCAGTCCTGGTCTGCAGAAACTCAACAATCATCTACCCAGCAACGAGTCTGCGTGTGAGGCAGCGGACCATTATGTTGAGTGTGTTAGTCTGGAGAAGCAAGACTACAGCAGTCTCAACATGTCATCCAGGGGAAGATATCTGGTGAAGGAGCAACGCACGATGAGGAATGAGGAAGCAGACAATCTGATTGTGGATCTACAAAGAACCTATCATTGCGAAGCAGAATTTACGACCTGCAGTATCGGATGATAAGGTAGATAATTTTCCCCCTTGTGTTAGGTAAGGTTGTACATGAAGGGTGTGATAACCTTGAATTACGTATGATTTGACACTGGACTTATTGCAGTAATATATTAAATAGGAGGTACCAGTGATTATATCGTGGAGTGCCTTAGGCAATGGTTTAAAGTCTACGAACTATTAAAGAGGCTTTCTTATAATGTCTATTTATGTAAAGTGATACCAGTGTTGGCGAGATAGTCTCAGACGGTTCAGGAATGTTACCATTCAATGGATTTGAGGGAGTTTTTGCCTATTGTCAGTGTAGACTATATTGAGTAAATCTATCGATTTTATTAGCATGTTTACTTACTCCCCTCTCCATTCTCTTTATTGTGTTGTTGTGAGAGAATTACTGTGCATCAAACCATTATCGTGAAGGTACTAGACTGGAGGATTTAAACCCAATACTGAGTTAAAGTATTACTTGGCCGCAGAGCAGAGCGAGTCAAGTTAGCAACCTTGAATTTAGCCTTTATGTCAGGCAGCTCGATCTAGGTAAACCCTGAGTTTCAGTGTCCATAGACACCCCAGCAAGGAAACTGGGGAGTAATCGAGTTACCTCACTCTCTACAGGGGCAAGGCTGAGTTCGGTGATGGAACTCTACCCTGTTGGTGAACAGTGGGATGAACAAGACCTCATCAGCTCTGAGTGGAGGGTGCTGAGATACTCCAGTGATTACGCCAGGTCGGTTGATCTGGGGTCAAGACCCACCTTGCAACACTATGTATATACAGTGCATCCTTACTCTAACGAATCCCGCTCTAGTGAATTCCCAGAAGATCTGAACAAATTAAGTTCGGTACTAAATGTTCAGTGGAACATATAAATGTTCAATTAAGTGAGGATTGTTTGTCCAAGTCAGAGGTAGCTGTCATCAACTATGATTTGCCAAAGTGTAAACAGCAGCATAAATACAATTCTGTCGACAAACAGCGCTCTTTAAAAAAAACAGACATTGGTTGACAATAGAGAGGTAAGGTAGGTTACAGGGAATTTATTAGGTATAGCTTCGTTTTTATCTTAAACTGGTTGAGAGAGGTACAGTCTTTAACATGGTTGGGAAGGTCATTCCACAATCTGGGTCCCTTGATTTGTAGAGTATTTCTAGTTTGATTAAGTCGTACTCTAGGAATATCAAAACTGTATTTATTTCTGGTGTGGTGCTCATGGGTTCTGTTACAACCTTCTATGAAGCTTTTGAGGTCAGGATTGGCATTACAGTTTAGCATTTTATATATGTATAATACACATGAGAGAATGTGCAGTGACTTAATGTCTAACATACAGTATTCAGAGATTTAACAAAAACATTCTGTTAAATGCCAGTGTTGGCACTTTTCTCTTCCCACACCATGTAGCAACTGGCGTTCGGGACCTAAAAGACTGCTATGAGGATATTAAACATATCCTCAAAGCCCAAGGCCATCCTGTCCTCCAGGTGGACACGTTCACTCGACCCCCTCGTGGTTGTCGTCATTAGCTCCTTCAAGTTGTGAAAATCACCTTCAATAGCAGGACCCTTCCGCCCTTTATCATTCTTGTTGGTGTCAGGTGCTCCGTTTAGGAGTACATCCCCTCTCCTAGACTTTGTAATAAGTGCGGGAAGTTTGGGCACGGTGTCCACAAATGATGAAGTCTTGTCTCTCTATGCCCCATGTGTGGGGGCGATGACCGCTCTAAGACAGATTGCTCTCCTCCCCAGGCTCGCTGCCTCAATTGCGGTGAGGTCCACCCTACCTTCTTCCACACGTGTATACACTACAAGCTTGAGGAAGCCGTCCTCAACTTGAAACACCGGAATCGTTTGACTTTTGCTGAAAAGAGACGCCCAAGCCCTTTCACCCTTTCACTGGTGTATCTTATGCCAACCCGTTCTCGCACTCTCTTATGTCAATATTGACTTATTAAAAACGTGAAAATGTGACATACTAAACATACTAGTTTACCTTGAAAAGCTTCATAGAAAACACCGACCTTACCTAACCTTCTTAGTATGTAAAGATAAACATCTTATTGCTTCGTAATTACAATTATTAATTAACTTATACCTATAATAGGTTAAGTAATAATTGCAATTACGAAGCAATAAGATGCTTATCTTAACATACTAAGAAGGTTAGGTAAGGTCGGTGTTTTCTATGAAGCTTTTGAAGGTAAACTAGTTTGTTTAGTATGTCACATATGCACGTATTTAATAA